GTTTATGCCTTTAAAAATATTTAAGTTCCTTAGTGTCATTTTGGTGATGATTTGAGGGGAAACAAGTTTGTATATTTACCCCACCTCATTTAATGTGATCTGCCCTTGCCTACATAGTTCCAAAGATCTTCTGTCTTTGACTGTTAGGTTTTATGCTGTCCACATCAGTGTTAGTGAAGTGATTCATTTTATTTAGAATGTCTGATCACATTGTACTCATAGATGGATAGAGGTGAGTTTGATAATCTGAAGTTAGAACATTTCAGACAGAATAAAACAGTCCTGAAATTCTAGCTGAACAGAACTGAACTCTGAAAGCTCCCTGGGTTCTCTATCCTGGCCGTCCCAGGCTGAGCATTTTCCTTCAGTTTGAGGAAGAGGTTAATTAGCCCTGAGCTTTTCCTCTGACACACCACCATATCCCTAATAGTCAAAAAACTTGACCTTAGAGCACCACACACACACACACACACACACACAAAACAGTACTGTTGGAGAAGCTAATTTAGTAGTTCTTGGTTGATTTTAAAGCCTGTTCCTAATGGATTAGAGCGTGCAAAAAAATTGTAGGCTTTCTGTCCTTTGGGATACTTGCTGATGAATGAATTGGACATGAGGTCAACACTAAAGGTATAGGGATGACAGCTGACCAGTGTCTGGGCCAGAATACAAAATGTTTGCTAAATGGCCTACAGATGAAAGGCACTTGGAAGGTTATTATATTTGCCTCCCTTTTCTTTACTTATTTGTTCCCAATAATCCCATCTGTAAAATGAGGACTAGACTAGATGATCTTTAAGGTCCTGCTTCATTGAGATTACTACAAACTGCGTTTACAGTTTCATTTCTTATGTAGTGACTCTTTAACATTTCAAAATCCCTTGTCATTCCTATTTTTAATTTTAGTTTTATCTTAAATTAAGCCAGCTGCCATTATCTGAACCTTAGACATGTGATGAATGTTTTAGCTGCAAGGTTTGTACTGTCTAATTAATGACTCCTAATTCTTACCTTCCTATAGCAGTTACTTTTAATTCTACGTCATCAAGGGGTTTTTTCCCCTGAAAAGGAAATGGATGATTTCCTTATATATTTGCACTCTATTTTATGTAGACACATTTTTGTATGCACAAATCACACATACATATATTGTTTTTTCTTTTTCTAAATCTGGGCAGGGTTTCAAGCAGCAGGCTCTTACAGTATCTACAGATCCTGAGCATCGTTTTGAGCTAGCTCTTCAGCTTGGAGAGTTAAAAATTGCATACCAGTTAGCAGTGGAGGCAGAAGTAAGTACTAATTCATGGATTCTCATAACTAATGGAAAAGTCAGTAGTACTTCTGCATGTTTGTTGGAATGTTTTGGTAGTTGGGTTTTTCAGGTGGAAATTAGTGACTCATTTTGGTGATACTTTTTTTGGTATTTTTCAAAGATGCATTATTAATTGTTGCATAAATTAAATGGATTATATTCATGATAATCTTAGCATATGATTTTTTTTTAAGACGTATTTTCCCATCTTAGGTGAGATTTATTTTTCAAGAGTAAGTAATTTAAGGTAGTAAATAAAGTAGCCTGGAAAGTCTGAGCACGGACAAAAAATGATTTGCCAAATCCCAAACTAGCAAGATGCTGGTTTTAAAAGGTTCTGACATTTTGAAACAGCTTCATGACAATTTTATACATATTTATGTATTGCATGATCCCAATTGTGTTAAGTCCAACATTAACTGTTAAATTGATGGGTGAAATAAATTTTAGCTATGTTAAATAGCATTTTGATTTCTGATGTTACAAATGACAGAAATTATTTACACATGTAATTTTCTACTCTTTCAGAAGTGGTACTAAATTTACACATTAAAATAACTGCAATCTAACTTGAAACTTGTTAGATGGGTTACTTTTACTGTGTAATTAGAAAATAAAAATATTAGCTTTATTTTTCATGCATCATTAAATTTTGTGAATAATTTTTACTTCCTTAGTATTTATGTATTTATATTTTTAGTTCAACTGATAGAGTTGACTTAGTAAGCGTAGCTCAATATCTGTCTTTCATTTTAGCACAGTAATGTTCACAATAATGGAGTAATTTTGATGTTGGAACTGTATTTCCAAAGATGCTTTAACTTGAAAACTCTTCCTCACAGTCAGAACAGAAGTGGAAACAACTTGCTGAGCTTGCCATCAGTAAATGTCAGTTTGGCCTAGCCCAAGAGTGCCTGCACCATGCCCAGGATTATGGTGGTCTGTTGCTTTTGGCCACAGCCTCTGGAAATGCTACTATGGTGAACAAGCTAGCAGAGGGTGCAGAGAAAGATGGCAAAAATAACGTAGCCTTCATGAGCTACTTTTTACAGGGCAAGTAAGTATTACTCCAAGGTCTACAAGACTCTGTGCACAGTAATTAAAAGCACTATTTGTAGTGGAAGTGGTGGCACACTTGTAGTCCCAGCAGTCTGGATGTGGAGTAGGTAAGGACTGAGTTTGAGGCCAGCTTGGACTACATAGTGAGCTCAAGGCTAGCCTGAACTACATAGCAAGATTATGTCTCAAAAAAACCAAAACAAAAAGTATTTGTACATTGACTTTGAAGATGGCTTTTGGAGAGAGATGTGAAAAATAAATTCTGAAGAGAAAGCTGATGGATGGCCAAGAGGTATGAATAGTATGACAATGGGAAGAGGACATTGCTACCTTGCCGGCACTCACCTTTATCACAGGGTGCTGTATAACATTTGGTCTCAATATGTGAGCTAAATGGGATGTTCAGAGTGGGAGAAATATTAAACCCTTCTCAGCAGCCATCAGGTAATGGCTGAGGTATTTTATTGTCTGGCTGCAGCAGGCCATTGAACTCCAGTTGTACCTGAATGTCAGGTAAATACCCTGGTCTTTGAAATTTGCTAATCCCATCTTAATTAACTCTTCTTCAGAGCCCATTTAGGTTCTTAGAGTTGTTAAAAGTAAGTTAAGTAGGTTAAAAGTGGTTACAAAAGCTGTCTTATCTCATATCCCTGGAGTCCGCTGATTTTTATGAAACACCATGTAAGACAAGTAAACAGCTCAGTAAAAAGGCAAATAATGAGGGCAGTTGAGGAAGGTTTGACTTTGCAGCATTACATCTGTGTATCTTTCAGATGTTATGTATCATTGTGACAGCCTTTATCTTTTTCATCACTAGGCTTGATGCTTGCTTAGAGCTCTTGATTAGAACAGGACGACTGCCAGAAGCTGCTTTCCTAGCCCGAACTTACTTACCCAGTCAAGTTTCAAGGTACAACTTTAATTGTAGGAAGAAGTGTTTCACATGAAAACAGAGCACACTTAATTTAGTCTTTCTTTGGTTCCATGTTTATAATAGGGTAGTCAAACTGTGGAGAGAGAATCTCTCAAAAGTCAATCAGAAAGCAGCAGAATCCCTTGCTGACCCTACAGAGTATGAAAACCTTTTCCCTGGATTAAAAGAGGCCTTTGTTGTTGAAGAACGGGTGAAGGAAACACAGGCTGATCTGTGGCCAGCCAAGCAATACCCACTTGTCACGGTGCGTAGCCAGGTGCCAAGCTTCAGTGTGACCACAGGGTGGAATTGCATTTGTGACCTCAGATTTTGAACTGTGGTAAATAACACTATTGTTGGGTTGAGCTAATACCCATGATTTAGCCCAAGTTACCTGATTAGTTATGATTTCAAAATATTTTATTTCATCATTTTTTATTGTTTGATAGCCAAATGAAGAGAGAAATGTCATGGAGGAGGCAAAAGGCTTTCAACCCTCAAGATCTGTAGCTCAGCAGGTCAGTAGGGTGCCACATGTCATAATTTGGCTGAGACCGTAGATTTTTTAAGTACTGTCCCCTACTTCCTAACCCTTGTCTTCCTTGCCTTGGGGGGAAGAATTTAAATTTCTGAACCAATTCTTTTGTCTTCATATGTATCTGTACTTGTGCTTCCAGGAACCTGATGAGAAACCTGCTTCCCCTACTCCAGTCATTGTGGCTTCCCAAACAGCCAACAAAGAAGAAAAGGTAAACTAGACATCATCCAACCCCTCCCCTCCCCTGCCATCCAGTGAACACATGTAAGCCTTGCTGGCAACGGTGGTTTAAGTGATGCAATGAGCGGGAGAGTTTCGTAGTTGGGGCCCTGAACTGAGAAGATGCTCTTTGACCATTAGGCAAATTTTGGTTCTTTCTTTGATGGTGAACCAGGTAACTTTTCTTTGACAGTAAACTTCATCACTCTCTTGCTTTTATTTTCAGAGCTTACTGGAACTAGAAGTAGACTTGGATAATTTGGAATTAGAAGATATTGATACAACAGATATCAATCTGGATGAAGATATGCTAGATGACTGAACATAATTTTCCATTTACTTGAGTAAATAGATCATTATTATATATAGATATTGGTCATTACCCTGTCCACAATGCTTGAAACAAACAGAAACTCCTTAAATTTTTATATGGAAATGCTGTGGACCAATGGGAGCAGAATGCCTCCTCACCTTAAGAGGCATTTATTATGTACGCATTTAAAATACTGTTTTCCACAGTAAAACAGACATGAGCTTTGTTTTTTTTCATACTGTCACTCAAAATCCTTAGAATCAATGATACTTGTTTACTTTGTGAATAATAAAAACAGACTTCTAGTTTTAGAAGGCTGAGCAAAAACAATACCTTACATAGGACTCAGCCTCACATGCTTTTCTCTGCATAACTAAATCTTCATTCTTCAATTATCTATCACAGTTCTGAGAAGTGGATTCCCATACTGGCATTATTTAAACCCTTTTAATTTCATATTATACTCAGTCTATGTAGCTTGGATGGACTTATCCAGAGTTTGTCTAGTAGTTACCCATTTCTAGATTCAAAACCTAAAACTTCAGGGAAGTGGGAGGGGTAGGGGAAAGCTAAGAAGGAAAAAAAAAAAGAAAAGGAAAAAAAAAATCTGTAAGTAGTGAAGGGAGGGCAGTGAAATGAGGAAAAATAAGAACCAAGATATGTCATGTAAAGGTACAAGAACCCAATGATGACTGTAACTATTATATACCTACAACCCCTATTCTGATCTCAGAAAGCCAGGCTGCATCTGTATTACCAATTAAGTGATACCTGGTTTGATACCACAGAAAAGGCAGACTTTTATTCTTTTTCTTAACTTTGCACTTGTCTAACATCATCAGAGAAATTCATAATCAGGTATTCAGAAATATTCATTCCCTGGCAGCCTAGAAAAGTGAGTTGGGTAACAAGTTATTCTTTGTATTTTTTTGTCAGAGACACAATCTGAAATTTTAAAAGCAAAGTTGTTATAGAAAATTACAAATCAGTACTTTTAATTCTGACATTTTTAAACTTAAACATTCACTGTAAAGGAGACAAGTACGCAGTTTTTATAAAACAAAATATAACTTTAAAGTATTTTCAGGAAGCCGCAGAATGGCTAATGAATGCTTCTTGATAAGTTTGAAGTGTTAATTCTACATATGCACCCCTCTGTGCTTCTGTTTTTGCAAAGACCTGTTTTAAAAAAAAAAAAAGTTTTAAAGCAATGGGACACATACTATTTATAAAATTCTAAGTTTTAAGACGTTAACGTTTCTGTAGTAGGAAACAATCCCAATTAATACCTTCCTTTATAATGTTTTCCCCCATTTATAAAGCAGTAACATACATGTATGGGAAAACATCCCACAGTTAAGCAATATTACTTCTAAATACCGAATTAGCTGTTGTCTCTTTTAGCTTGTTTAAAAAAAAAATGTAAGACTCTTAACATTGTACTTCCTGCTAGATCAAACTGAAAAGCATTAGGGTAAAGAGAAATCTGGAAGATGAGAATTAGCAGATTCATTTTTCACTTCAAACAGTGTCCAAAAGCATTTTGCTTTATCTGGCTTAGCCCTGAAAATCAGGATTAGTACTATAGTTTCTCTACTTAGGGTGGTCACTGGTCATTTTTATCTTTAGTAAGCTTGTGATAGATTTAAAAAAAAGGATTACTACAATATAAGCCAGTACAACAAAACTACATCTATTCTTTATATTAGAGGAAACTGAATTACACATTGACTTCCCCCTTCCTCTCCTAAAAATATTAACACATCATTTTCAGAAAATCTGTGTAAGCCCATGGTTTGGAACAGTGTGTAGTTCCCAAATGATAAGAGAAATAAGGCTTGGTATAGCACCTCCACTTTCTCTTCTTCTTGGCACCTATCTCCCATATTCTGTGACCACACTGGAGAACAGGAAAGTGCTTTTAGGGACCTACTCTAGCTCTTTTTACCTTGTCTTGGTGACCACTTCAGATGCAGCTTGGCCCTTTATATACTCCAAAGAATGAGGGCCTTCTACCTGCACTGTCTGAACCTCTCTAGACTCCAGCATACTCCCTACTCAATGCATTGTCCAGGATGGAGAAATATGGGGGCTATTATCATACTGATGTTTTCAAGACCACAAATGTTCCGTATTCACAAATCTGTTTAGTTACTATTAAATACAACTCATTTCTGCATCTTTTTTCTGCATCTTTTAAGACTCAGTTACCACCACAAGTCAGCCAGTATGAAAAAGACTTTACCTTAATTAAATTTATTCCCTCAGCAGCCTGCTCTCTGGCCTCTTGAGCTGATGGGCCATCTGGATGGAGCATGTGATACAGCTGGACCAAGCTGGTGGCATCATCAGCTCTGAGAATGAAAGGGCTTACTGTTACCAAGGGTTTTCTTCACTGGCTTCACAGTCCTATAAAGTGTGTGCCAACTTCAAGATAAATTACATTTCAGACTGCTCAGGCCAGGAGAAAATGGAAGCAGGTTGTGGGGGCACTAGTGCCAACAAAAGAATTTCAGAAAACTGACTAGTCCTCACATCAAGTCTGTGAGGCAGGTACAGCAAGAGTCACTAGGAAGTGCCAAATTTGTGAAAATCTCCAAATACAGCTATATTTTTGGAAACAACATTTCTCACGGAAACAACCTTCCTAGTAGCAGCTCATTTTCAAGCCAGCCCACTTTATCAGCATGAAATGATGTCATCCAACTACAGCTTCACCTCACAAAGCAGGAGGCTAGTGGTTACAAGGTTCTCAAAGTCACTTGCCTTTAATGGTATCTGCTAACCAGTTCTCACTGAGACTGGATTAACAGATAAGTGCCACTGGAAGAGGATCCCCACCAATTCCAAGAAAAGACAACGCTTGAATAGTCACAGGGACAAAGTTAAAAAATTCACATCCTGGTAAAGCCAATTTGAATCAGGCACATCAGGCTAAAGGAAAACCAAATTCTTGTACATCAGCTGTCTAGTGTCAAACCTAACTTTGATGAAGCACAAATGACAATTCAGTTCTGGTTTGCACTTACCTATTTAGAAATGCACACATTATAACAACATTACAACTTCTAGCGGGCCAGGGATTCAGCTCAGTGGTTCAGTGGCCTGCCTTGCAAGTGCAAGGACCCGAGTTCAATTCCTGGTACCAAAAAAAACAAAACAAAAAAAACCCCAAAAAAACAAAAACTTCTAGAGGCCCCAAACTAATCACTGTCTTCTCACACTGTCAAAACTTCAGGACCATTTGCCAGCTGGAGGGGAAAAAAAAAAATGTATAAAAACTGGGAAGGGAGGTGGTGAGGATACCCTAATATAAGGCTACCCTCAACTATCACTCTGATCTCCCTCACTGACATTACCTGAGCAGGAGGATAAAGAGCATGGTGACAATGAGTGACACAGTTAACTTTAAGCCACAATGACATTAGACATATACTCTGGGCTAACCCCAAGTCCCATCTACCCTAAAGGCTATCATTTGGGAAAACTGAAAATCCAGAGATGCTTGTTTTAGGCTTTTCAGAGACAAAAAAAAAAAGATCATTACACATCTGTGCTTGTTATAATCTAACAAAGTCCAACAGATGTTGTAGTAAAGTATCTACCCATAGTTTAGGCACATGGCCCTATGAGAAAACAATAGTGAGACTTGAGTCTGAAAGAAGTCCACATACTGAATTGTTGCCAGTAAAGATGGTGCTCTCTACCGTTCAGCTGGAGATCTGCAGTCAGCTCAATGTCCCATTCCGAAATACTGCAGGAGGGGTTAAGTTTTCAAACCTCCCTTCCAGTACGCAGGAACTGCTTCACATGTCCCAAGGCAGTATCACATATTAGTATGCCTAGTAACTTAATTTTCAAACATTTCTGTGTTGCTCTACTTTTTCACAAAAATATTGTTTTAGTTCAGAATGATTACATTTGATTTTTTTTTTTTTTTTTGGTACTGGGGATCGAGCTCAGGTCCTTGTGCTTGCGAGGCAGGTGGCAGAACCACTGAGCTAAATCCCCAGCCCTACATTTGAAAAATTTAAAGTAGAAAATTCATTTATGGGAGATGTCACTGTTTCTGCACATAAAAGCACGTCACTTTCTAGAATCCACCACTCCTACATATAGGGGATGGAGGTATATTTCTGCCTTTTGAACTGAATGACAGAGCACGCTGAAGTGAGATGGCCTGGAAATCCTTACCATTAGGAATGCTGTTTCTAGAACTGATGCTGTTTCCAAATGTGGGCTTAGAGAAACTGAAACCTTTCAATTCTAAATGCCTTAATGCCTTTATCAAAAAGATGTTATTGCTACAAATGTTAATAATTATCTAGAAAACAGCATCAACAAAACTGCTTAATGCAGGATTGTTGCTAACCTTCAATTTATTTTTTAAAACTGCAAGACATTTATAGCTAAATGGATACACAGAGGCCATACTCTTAAGTGAAATAGGACACACATGTAATACTGAATAGTTTCTCTGGTGTGGGAAACCGAAAGTGTAAATAAGGATCAAAATGTATAATAGATACTGTAAAATAGGAAAAAAAAAAGGTCCAGAGGGGAAGAAGGGAGGTGTGGGGGAAAGAAATAAATATGAGAAAAGGAAAAAAGAAGGAAACAAAGTCTTTTAAATAGGGAGGGGTGGAGAGGTTGATGGGGAATGGGGAAAAAAATAAGAACCAAGATGTATCACGTAAAGGCACAAATCCCCAATGATAAATGTCATCATATTGTTTACCTAAAATGTACCGATGAAATTAATGATTAAAAAAACTGCAGTACTTGTAAAGCACAACAGAAAGAGAAATGCTTACATGATTGCTGATGGCAGCTAGGAACTTGGAGCACACCAGCTTGATGCTAACATAAAAGGATCTTTGTTTCATGCAATCCTGAAAAATAACTTTTTGATGCCTTAAAAATCTTGTGAAAACAAGGGCTCTCAAACACAAAAGTACTTTTATAAGTTAAATGACTTTTACTGAAAAGCCTAGAAACAGTTCTACCACAAAACAAGCACCCAGCAAAGCTTATATTTACTTCTGTACAGTTTCTATTTCATCCCCTTTTGAGGAGCTGGAAAGTTCACTGCTCTTAGGAGCACTGGTGAGTGAGCCCAGGAAAAGTCAATATTCAGATTCTACTGCACAGATCTAAAGGTAAGTTTCAAAGTATCTAGATGCTATGGCTGTGTCTTGATGTACCCCAAAGCTTAGAGTGTATGATGCTGCAATTAAGGGTATGCAATTACTAAATTAGTCCACTGATTGGTCTGGCATTGTGGATAATGGGAAGGCCCACCCTGGGTGTGGGTGGCACCACCCAAAAGACAAGTAGCCTGGATGGATACAAAGGACAGAAAGAAGGCAGGCCGGCTGCTGCTGCTTCACTACTTTGCTGCTTTGCTGTCTTCTGCCCATCACAAACTGTTTCTCCTCTGTGATGCCCCTCTGCCTTGTCACGCTACCTTGGAGCCAGCCAACTATGAACTGAAACCTCTACAAATTGTGAGCTACAATAAACCTTTCCTCCTTTAACTTTTGGTATTGGGTGTTTTGTCTCAACAAGAAAAATAACTAAGACACTAACCCTGTTTGTGAATACAAAAGCAAAGCCTGAGAAAATTGGTTATGCTAAAAGGAAAAACCCAGACAAAATGAGGCAAGTGAAGGCTTCAATTTAACACTGGAAAAAGATCATAGCTTAAATACAGATTTACAGCAATACAAACGATTCCTAAGATCATACTTACAAATCTCTCTGAATCTGGTCAATGAGCAAACCATCAATCCTTTTCTTATTTACAAAATACCAGGCCATTCCACCAAAGTGTCTTGTTGAACGTAAAAGGTCATATTTTCCATGTTTATCGATATCTTCATAGGTCTGGTGATGAACCTATCCGAATAAAATGCAACCCTTCAAAAACAGCAAAATACAAAGTGAGCAGCATTACTCTACTTACACTGACTAGTGGAGAGCTGGCCCAGGAAAGTATGAATGAAACCAGGTTTACTTAGCTGCCTCCACTATAATGAGTCATTTAGTAAGCTGTAGACCACCCCTGGTACACCCCATCTTAGGTGGCAAGAAGGGTTAAGAAAGAACTTGTTGAGATGACAGCAAATCTGTGCCTTCCCCATTGCATAAGTGTGTGGCAGTGTGAAGCAAGTCACACCAAACCTTTATAGCCTTACCAATAGCCAAACTTTCAACAGCCAAACACAAGCACTGATTTCATATATACAGACCCTGGAAATAAATTATCACACCTTTTGGTCACTAGGGAAAAAATAAACCACTTTTTTCACTTTTCCTTTTTCCCATCAACTGCCCCATCCCGTCAGCTCACCCATGCCACTCTACTGACATTTCTTAAGTTCTCCTTTCAGACTCATCTTCTTAAATGAGGATAAAATATGTATCTGGTAAGGGCATAACTCTGCTCAAAAGGCTTTCAAAGACCTATTGATAAGTACATATTCCTCAGCCCAGTATCAAGGTCTCCAGTGAGGTAGCCGCCCCATCTACCTTTCCTGCTTAATCTGGAATGCTCTCCTACATACAAATTAGATGGTCAAGTAAACCAGATCACTGACAATGTCTTAAGCATACTTGGTTATTTTCTGCCTATTGCTCTTTACTGTTCTACCTGAAGCACCTCTCCTCAGGCCAACTTCCTCTGCCAGTGTTCCTAGCTCTTCCTGAATACTTTATAAGACTTCTACAAAGCCTTTCCTGAAAATACTCTGACCTTTCAGCACCTAACATTTTAGACATAAAGTGATAATTATCCACCTACTTATGTAGCATCCTTCCACATAATCATTATTGGACTGTAGCCTTTGACACAACACACCCTATCCTTGTTTGTGACATTACCTTACTACCTGTGATAACACCTTACACTAAGGTACTTTAGTACATAAACGGTACTAATGAATACATACTTAGATATTTAAGACACACACATTGCACTTTGTCAAAATATAGCAAGTAACTTTATTGTAGTATGGTAAATTAAGAGAACAAGCTTTGCCATTGTTTGGTCCAAACCCTACCACTTACACAGCAATATACCTGTCAGTAAGCTACTTAATTACCAAGCCTAAATCTCCTCATTCTTAAGGGTTGTTGTGAGGATAAAATATGTATCTGGTACACATCTGTATTCAATAAATTTTCAGATATTTTCCTTCCCTTCTGCCTATATTGTTGGTGGTGAATCTATGCATGAGTGTCACAGCAGACTGTTTGCTATCATCAAAAGCTTTAAAAGGTTCACCATCACTACTTTATACAAAGCTTATAACTAAACTCAAGTGTGCTACATTAAAAATCTTGTTCATAACTGTACTTTAATCTCTATTTCAGAAGCTGTAAAATGTACCTACCTTGATGTACTCAGTAGAATCTGGCTCAAACTGGGCAACACAAAGATTAAGGACATCAACATGCCGGTCCTGACTGTACATGGTCTAAAACCACACAGCAGAAATGGAATTAGATGAGAAGAACACAAAGTTTAGTACCTGTCCTGACATGGTGACAGGGATGCAAACCCATACATAGGACACATTTGTGCCCATCAAGAGGCATACAGAAACAACACGGGCTTTGTAATGGTCACAACTGAATCCAAATCCCACCTAAGACTCTAAGAAGAGAAAGTCATGTAACCATTAGAAACATTTACCTGTATTTACCAAGGCAAAACACCAAGCAGCACCACACCCAAATGGCTCAACAAATAAATCACCATCACTGAGTCTAGAATATAAAACACAATTCACCTGACCTTAAGGTTTTCTTCCTTGAAAATTATTGGTGGTAAAACCCTACGACCTTCTTTGGGGAAATAAATTTGTATCATCCGATCCCGTTCTTCCCAAGAAGCTTTGCGTAGTGTGCCACTTGGTTCTCTTACCACAATAAAACGTTCCTGAAAAACAATCAAGGATGAGTTATTTGGACTTACGTTTAGTTTCTGCATTTCGCCAAGTCCATTATAGAGGTCTCCAAACTTGGCTGACAAACTTTTTGGCATCAGAGACCAGTTTTGTGGAAGACAATTTTTCCATGCAGTGGGGAGGTAGAGATGGTTTTGGGATGAGTCTAGTACATTGCATTTATTGTGCACTTAATTTCTATTATTATTATTATTATTATTATGAGATTCTCTTAAGGAGCAGCAACCTAATGCCTTCTGTACATGTACAGTTCACAGTAAGGTTTGTGCTCCTACGAGAATTTAATGCTGCCACTAATCTGACAGAAGGCAGAACCCAGGTAGTAACACAAGTGATGGGGAACACTTGTAAATATAAATGAAGTTTCTCTCACTTATCTACCACTTACCTCCCGCTGTGAGGTCTGGCTCCTGAGAGGCCACAGACCTGTACCAGTTGGTGGCTGGGGTTTGGGGATCTCTTTTTAAAATAACAATTTGCAATCTGCAATATATAATGCAACTGGGAAGCAAAATGCAATCTTGAGTATGGGAGTTCAATGATAATTTTAAACCTTAAAAGACTCAGTTGGCAAGGTTTAATGCTTCATTACTACCATCCCACTGACCATCAGAAACCAAAAATTTAGCACCAACTATGGTGTTGAGGGTTTCATACATAAAATGATCCAACTAAAACTGATCGGTGATAGAAGCTGGCTGGTTCAAGTATTTCACTTCCCTATCCCACATTCTCAACTAAACAGATTTTACCACTCTATGACCTACACTTATCAAGGTAACAGGAACACATTGTTCAAGAACGTGCAGTCTTAATTTTGCACCTCTGATTTCTCATATCGACATTAGACATAAATCTATCAGACTGGCTGGTCCAGTCAGAGACCTCCTCTGGTCTCTTCACTCTTCCAAATGCCAAATCCCAGCCCACTGAAATGCTTCGTCCTCTGAATTTAAACCACTATTTGCACCATTTATATGCCAATTTATTATGTGCAAGATTCTTAACACTTCTCACATACTGTTATACAAGCAAAAAGGGGCAAGAAATGTGGATAATAATTCTTTAACACCTAGAGTTGGAAAGACATACAAGAGCTATACACACAGCTGATAAATGATACACACCTGATTAATTTATAAATTAACAAATAATATGCTCTACTTGAGAGTTGTAAGGGTTCTGAGGAGAAAATAACACTTTCATCAAACACTGTACAAAATAAAAAAGATATAAAAATTCTTCCTCAAAAAGATTTTAGTAATTTGAGAAACCAGAATTCTAAGTTTCTTTCTCTTTCAAGCTACCAAAATACTCCTCTAACCGCCTTCACAGCATTGCAAATACAAAATAAAGCACAAAAATTAACTGAAATTCTACTTACAGAAAAATTTTGAATTAAAATGAAAATTCTGCGATCCTTGTTCATGCCAGGAACACAGAGGGCTGGTACAGGAATGGATATAACTGAATTCATGTTTTCTAACTATAATTATATATGATTAGAGTGGTTAATATGGAGTCATCCTTCTACAATTCATTATTCTATAGTATTCTAAAGCACTTTGTTGGCTGAACTTTAAATTACTCTTTATTTGCAAGTCTCATATATAAAACATTCTTTAAATGCCAAAGTGTTCTTTAAAATTGGCAATCAATGGAAGAGAAGAGAATAAAAATAAAACAAAAGAAGCAGTGATATTTAAAAACTATCTGAGAAACACCTGTCACTCTTAATGAAAATTCTGTAAAGTGAAAATCCACTAACCAGGTGTAGTGGCGCACTCCTGTTATCCCAGCACTCAGGAGGCTGAGGCAAAAAGAACACTGTGAGTTCGAGACCAGTGAGTTCCAGGTCAGTCTCAACTATAGTGAGACCCTATCTCCCTGTCTCAAAAAAAAAAAAAAAAGAAAAAAAAATCCACTGGGATGTCTTGAGTTTCTTAGCATCATCAAGGAATAAATAGGATTAAATTCCATCTTCCCAAAATGTTTCAGCAAAGGAACAGTATGACTTAGGTAATAAGAATTTCCTTCTGCTACCTTGTACATTTTTGTCCATTTATGGTTTGGGAAGTGGATTTCTGTCTAGAGGTGCCTTGTCTCTCTAAGCACATCCGCCAATCTAAAATACCCTGAGTCCACAATCTATAGGGAAACGGTAATATCAAGACGTGAGGTTGGTCTGCACCTCTCATCTTCCTCATACTGGATCTCCCAGAAAGGTCTCATGCAATCACAGGAATTCTGGTTGGAAGCATCACACACAGCCAGGTCTTTCTGACCCCACTACAAAAACCCTCAGACCTATCTTCACATGAAATTTCAAACACAGGTCACTTTGCATTTAGACGTATACTCACCCGATGTGGTATGGTATATGATATATCAGTAAACACATATTTGGCTGTTTCCATTCCTTCCAAAATCTTATCTTCTGCTAACACATCATTTATTGGTGTTCGTTCTTCCAGAACTGGTGGCATTTTCAATCGCACTTTAGCTGCTTCAACTGCCTTTCTGGTAGCCTAATAAAATAAAATATTTCTTAAGCAAAGTCACAAGCTTACAGACCAAAAGAATCATTTGATAAAAACCAACATTCATCAAAAATGCCTGAAAGACTGCAAGGAAAGGAAGGTATAGCCAACAATTAGTGAGTGAGAAGCCAAACTTGGACTCGTGGGTGCTGGCCTTTGCCTGTGGTATGGCTGAGAACACCAGCTACAGGCTTAATCATGCTGTGACAGTGTGAGACTACAAAATCTGCTTCAAATAAAGGATTGCATTTATTGAGTGTTTACTATGTGCCAGATATTGTTCAAATACTCTGAACAAATGTAATTTGCTCACTTAATACCCATACCAACTTTATGAGCGAGGTGCTACTGTAATCTCCATTTCATGAAAGAGAAACCAGGAGAACACAGGTGTAAAAAAGTTGCTATGAAGCTACAGCTCTAGGATTTGAACCTAGGAAACACAACTTTAGAGCCCACACTCTTATCTACTGACCACACTGACCCAAACAACATTACTACCAATGGCTACCTCTGGTTGAAAAGGGAACTTTCATGCTTCACATGATATACTGGGCTACTTGATTATTTTGCTATGACCATAAATTACTCTGGAATTAGAAAGAATGTTAATGTTTCACATATTCATACATCAAAGTGTATTCCACAAAAGACTCAGTACTCAAGGTTCCAGGAAGTACTGTGCTTGTAATAGGAAGTTGTTCAACACAATTTCATAATTTCACTGAAGTTTCAGACCCCAGGGTAGCTCATAGTGGTGTTTCCATAGGAAAAAAGTTGGAACAGGCAAGAAAAAGGAAGGTTCCCTGGGTAGTTTGACAGCATGGAGGAGCCTGTACTTGGACATCCAGACCAGGCTCACATACCCCAGTCAACTCAGTTCTGGTCATGCTCCTGGTCCCTCTCTGCCTGCCTACTCACATTTCATTTCTCAGTTCTGTGCCATTAGTCTACCTCATAAGTGCTTGTAGAAAAGAGCTATAAGCATCTGCAGCAGCCTCTGGAAATCTTGTTTAAGCCTTTAAAGAAAGGTATTCTACAATATTCCTGTGTTTATATACCTCTTCCAACTGTGCCTGGGTCATTAGTTTATAGGTTGGTGGCTTCAGCTTTTGTATAGCTGGCTTAAAAATCTTCTCCAAGTTCAATCCTGTCATCTTGATAAGGATGCTTTGAACTTCTTTATCCATAAATGTAGGTTTCTTGATCTGTGAGATACCAGATTCTGCTAAAATAGATTTTAGTAAATAAGAAGCTAGCAAAAATGACAAGCCAACAAGACCTCTAAATAGAAAAGTAAGTGATCAGTTAAAACCATAAGTACAGTGTCCACTTGAAACTGGATAATGCTAATACCTATGAGATTCATTCATTCGACTTCATTTAATATTTACTGAACAAGCCAGGTATAGTAGTACATGTCTGTAACCCAGCACTCCAGAGGCTGAGGCAGGAAGACTGCCATGAGTTCAAGGCCGGTCTGAACTACATAGCAAGGACTGTCTCAAAATAATAAATAAATAAACAAATAAACAAAGAGTTTTAAACATTCACTATAAGGACAGTCTCTGCCAAAAAGAGTCTACTGTTGGAAGCAAAAGAAAAAAAATAATGTAATAATAGTAATGACTGTTACCATTTACAGACTTGTCTCCTATTTTGTAGGGTTTGCTTTGTTTTTGTTTGTTTGTTTTTGGGGGACTGGCTGATTGGTTCTAGTGTGGGGTATGGAAACCAGGGCTGTGCACAATAGGCAAGTGCTCTACTACTGAGCTGTATCCTTAGCCCTCAAATTTGCTTAAGCCAGGATAACACACATATTCGGAATGCATATATAAAACTACAAAACGGGTATTGACACCCTAATTTTGTAAATGATGATGCTAATGCTGACCCAAAGACAACAAGCTATTAAGGGACAGAGCTAGGTTTAACAAGGTTTGTCTGGTTTTAAAGCTTTCACTTTCCAATCTTTTTTCAATTCTGCCTCATACAGTCTACCTATTCCTTTATGTAATTTCTCCCTCCACTTCCATTACAAAACAAACAAAAACCATTTGCTTCCAGTCACCTCTTCCCTTGCTTGTCCTGTAAATGTTGGTTTCCTACAGGATTCTAAACTATGTTCTTTTCTCTTTTCTCATGTTGTCACTGGATGATTACTTTGCCTCCTACGACTTTAATAATCTGACATGCTGGAGAATGAAATCTGAATCTCCAGCTCAGACTATCTTCCACCCAATTAATGAACACCTCACTGTACTTCCTTCAGTACAGACAAATCAGAACTCATCAACTTTCTCTTGTCTCAAATCTGCTTTTCCTATTGTTCCCTATTTCAGCACCATCCATTAGGTCATACAGGCCAGAAACCTTATAGACATTCCTGACTTAACCTTACCCACCATGTCCAGCCAAGAGCAGTAGTAAAATGACAACCCTTAACATTTATTAGATAATTTCTACGTGCCAGAACTTAACTGAGCTAAGTATATACTGAATACATTTCATGCTCACAACAACCCTATCAAGCAAATATTACCATGAGCTACATTTTACCAAAAAAAGGACAACACAGAACACACACCTATATACCTTACTTTTGTTTTGTTTTGTTTTTTGAGACAGTGTCTCACTATGTAGTTGAGAATGACTTGGAACTCACTGTGTAGCCCAGGCTGGTCTAGAACTCACAGCGATCCTCCTGCCTCAGCTTCCCCAGTGCTGGGATTACAGGCATGCGCCACCACGCCCAGCCCTTACATCTCTTTTTAATCCGCCCTTTTCTACTGCCACTACTCTAGTCAAAATCACCCTTGCCTAGCCTCACTGCCTCCTTTCTGACCCCCGTACAAACATTCTCCACACAGATTAGTTAAGAGTAACCTCTTTAAAAATGTAAAGATGATACAATGTTTAGAACTCACCAATGACTTCCAACATCTTTTAGAGAAAAACTAAGGTGGTTTGCTTGCTTCACTGTGTTCCCCCCACTTTAAACGATGTGGTCTCTAAAGACCAGAACCCTGTCTTATCTCTGGCACCCAGGTTCTCTTAAAAGCGTTTAACACATTGTAGGTGCTCAGGACTACTCTGCCCAATCTCATCCTCTCACCCAACTTTAGTTAATATTTTTATTCCGATTTCAATTTATATTTAACTGTCTATGGAATACTAGGCTCTCAAAGGCATCTAAAATTTAGTGTCTAAACAGGTTTAATTCTGCCTCCCTTCCCATCTCCACACTTCATCTACTCTGGCATCACCCCACCCCCAATACTGTTCCTACAATTTTCTTCAGTTTGGTACAAAAAGGACTAGCCTCCATTCAATGCTCAAGTCAGAAACTTTGGAAACAAGATTTTGCCTCCTAAATCTAGATCCCGAACCATAATCATGCTTTATCAATCCTACCCCCAAAATACTTGTGTTCGTTCTTTCTCCGGATTTTTGCCTATGCTATCCCCTCTACTCGGAATGACTCTTGTGTTCTCCTTTAGCCCAGTAAGGCAGGGATCAGCTTCGGTCTTGTCTTTCAGGAAGCCCCTCCTGCCCTTCCACCGTTCCTCTACGTGCGTCCCCCAGCACAGCCCGAGTATCAATCAAATGCTGGTTCGCCTTGGGCTCTGCACTCCCTCAGAGGAGAGCTTTAGCGCACTGTACCCCCTGAGCTTAGCCCAGTGCTTTACAAGGAATGGAGCTTAGAACCTGAGCGAACGCTTAACGGAGGGCGATGACATACTTTGCACGTAAAGACTGAAGCTGACTGGTTTTAGACTGCGCAGAGGAAAAAGCCAGAAGGGCTGCCACGTAGTTTTCGCCAGCTAAAAAAAGAGTTTCTAGGCCTTCATGGATAACTACGCAGAGGAGGTCGGGCAAGTCACTTACCGGCGGAAGAGCTGAGCCGACGGCGAGGCAGCCCTACCGCGAGGGGCAGAGGCAGCGGCTGGAACAGAGCATCCGGCTGAAGCTGGGTTCGGGACCGGATACAGGCCAGCTCCGTGCCTCCAGAACCTATCACGAATCCCCACAGCGACATTGAAGTTCTAAGGGCCGCCATGATTATCTGAGGCCTCGCGCCGGAAATGGATACGATCAACCTCCGGTTCATGCGCAGTTTGTGTGGCATTCTGGGAAATGTAGTCTCGCGAAGAGGCTAGCTGCGGAAGCCTTCTAAACTGCGCCCTCCCCATCCTTTTGAGTTTTTTAATTTTTTTTTTTTTTTTTT